TAGAGGAATAACATGATCATATCTGTGTTTTAAGAATGTTATTTTCGTAGCTAGGTAAAGATGGCCCCTCATGGTGGGAGAAACTGGGAGCTAGGTACACCATTGAGGAAGACTTGTAAATAGAGAGAAGGCCCAGTCACTGTTAACAGCAATCTGCATTCTACCTCTTTCTTCCTTAACTTTCTTCTCTAGTCTCTCAATTAACTTTGGGAGTGGAGCATAGAGATTATATGCTTTCGGCTTTGTTTGTTTGGTTTGGATTTGGAATTGAACTACCCATCCTGTTTAAGAAATGGAACTTTTGAGTTCTGAACAATATTGGACTATTCTGGTTTTCAAGGTTTTCTTAGTAGACTAAAGTATCTCTCTGTGATAGGGATGGTGAGATTGGGGTTGTGAAGCTATCTTTTCTATTCAAAAATAATTTTCACTCATTTCTTTTAAAAAGTTTTATTGCAGCTTCTTGTTTTTATACCATAGTTCAACATAGACTAGTTTTCTTTCCTTTTTCCTTTTTTTAAGGCAGTTGGGGTTAAGTGACTTGCCCAGGGTCACACAGCTGGTAAGTGTCAAATGTTTGGTCTGAGACCAATTTGAACTCAGGTATTCCTCACTTCAGGGCTGGTGCTCTATCCACTGTGCCACCTAGCTGCCCTGACTAGTTTTCTACTATTTATCACCTTTGACAGTTTGAAGGGTGTGAGGTGAAAACTCAGAGTTGTTTTAATTTATATACTTCTTATTAATAATTTGGAGAATCGTGTCTTATAATTGTTTATTTGAATTTCTTATTTTTAAAACTTTTTTCCTTTGATAACTAAGATTAGTGGATTAGATTAGGGGAATGCTTATACGTTTGTGTCAATTTCTTGTATATCTTGCATATCAGACTTACTAGAGGCAGCATGGACTAGTAAACAGAGATCTAGCCTGGGAGTCAGGAAGATCTGAGTTCAAGTTCTGTCCTTGACTCTGACCGTGTGACACTGGCGAAGTCACACACTCTAGGCAACTTGATAAGATTGTAAATAGGGAAGATAGCAACTTACAGGGGCCAAGGGAGTTTCCTCATCCTTCAGTTCCCTTTATTTATGAAATAACAGGTTCAATCTCAATCCAATAAAATAGTTATTTGATGCAAAAATTTTTTCTCACTCAATAAGTTCTCTTCTTATTTGAGTAGCATCGACTTCATGCAGTGCTTTTACATTTTATATGCTTGGAATTGTCTTTTGTCTTTTTTGATATCTTCTAACCCTTCTTTGCCTATGAAGCCTTACCTTAACTATAGTTGTGAAGGATAACTATTTCAATTCTCTTTTAATTTTGAATTCTGTTACCTTTTATGCTTAGATCTTATTTATTTGGAGCTTATTCTGGAATATGATGTAAGATGATAGTTTAATACTATTTTCTGTCAAACTACTTTCCATTTTATGAAGGAGTTTTTGTCAGATAGGGAGCCCTTTAGTTTATGTTCTTGAACTTACTAAACATTGAGCCACTGTCTTTATTTCCATATTTTGTTTGTGCAATGTGTTCCATGGATCTACTTTTCTGACCTTTTTTTTTGGTGATTTTTCCAAAAGGAATTTCAAATTGGCATCTCTTTTTTCACCCGTGTGGCTTTTGCTTAAAAGCACCTCTGAATGGACTGATTTCTTAATGCCATTTATTGTATACATATTATTGAATTTCAGAGATGAAAAGAATATTAGATATCAACTAGTTCAATGAGCACATTTTACAAATGGGGAAACTCAGGTCCAAAGATGCTAAACAACCTTCTCAAAGTCACAGAGCTGGTAAATGGCAGGTCTCCTCACTCTCAATCTAATTCATTTTCCAATATTCTTCCTGGCTCTCTCAAGGATTCCAGCCTTGAGGTGACTCTCTGAGCCTTTGTGATAATCTAATCTGACTCCTCACCCAAATATTTAGATCTGAAAGGCATCTCAGAGATCATCTAGTCCAATCTCCTTATTTTACAGATGAGGAAACAAAGGCCCAGAGAGCAAAGTGACTTGCCCAAGTCATCAAGGTAAATAAGAAGCAGAGCCAGAATTTGAACACTGGTCCTCTGATTTCAAATCCAATACTCTTTCCACTCTGCCATAAATAGATAAACATCTACTTTTTTCATATTTTTTTTCTCATTGACCTTTCCGGAGTGCCTATATTATATATGTTGAAGCCCAATATTCTAGCATGATTTTTGAATCTGTATCGTAGGTATAATCAATTCATCACATAGCCATGAATTTGAAAAGGTTCCCCCCCCCTTTTTAAGTGGAGTACATTTTTCTTCCTTCCTTTTTTCTTTCCTTTCTTCTTTCCTTCCTTCTTTCTTTCCTTCCTTCCTTCCTTCCTTCCTTCCTTCCTTCCTTCCTTCCTTCCTTCCTTCCTTCCTTCCTTCCTTCCTTCCTTCCTTCTTTTCTGTGTTTCTATTTATCTATATATATTTTTATTATTTTATAGTTATCAAAGGTGTTTCTAGGCTTAAATTTTAGGAGGATGAGGTGGAATAGGGTAGAAACAAAGTATTATTCCAGACCGACTTCTCTTCATAGCTGATGACAGCCTGTAACTTTGTGTCATCGGCTTTCTTTATGATATAAAATCCTATGAGAGTAACTGGTTCCTAAAATATATGCTTTTGTTTGTACTTTCACTCTTTCTTTATTGAGCATATAGTACTTCTAGCCTGTAGAATATTTGCCTGTGTGGCAAATAATTTTAAACAGGTGCCCTCATTTGAACCAGATTCTGCTTAGCTCAGATGAAAACCAAATGATCACCTCTGAACAGAACCTCGCACAATGGGGAGAGGGGGCATTTTGTAGATGAAAATAAAGGTACAATGTGCATGTAAACTTATAGTTCCCAGCCAGACTTGATGGGCTGGAAACAGTTTGCTACTTTACACAGACACATAGGATTTGTATTCAACTGGCCAGCTTTTTTTTTTTTAACCTAACAATCCTTACTGTGTCACTTCATATTTAGATATTTACCTAGTACTCACAGTGGAATGCATTTACTAAAGAGCTGAAATGTTCTAGTCAAACTATCTGGGCTTCAAAGTGGGCACAGCAGAAAGGAGGGTAAAAGTGGGGTAAGAAGGGAGCTGTTGAGACTCAGTAGCAGTTATGTGAAAGTTTTCATCCACTTATATAAAGGGACAGCTTGAGGAAGACTTGGTGGTGACTCTTTTGGAAGAGGAGAGACCCCTGAGAAAATACCATGTTGTCTAAAAACATAGGTGCCTATTGTTTTGTAAAATAAACCCACCCTGTATATGCAATATAATCACTCAGCAAACACTTAATAAATATCTGCTATATACTAAGTCATGTGCTATACTCTGAGGATGCAAGGACAAAAAAAATGGTCTCTGCTGTTAATAAACTTACATTCTATCAAGGGAGACAACATGTACACGTATAAGTATACACTATATATATATACACACATTTGTATTATATCCACATATGTGCAAAATAAATAAAGGTTATGATTTTTTTTAATGGCAACCACTAGGCCCTCATCACCTCATGCTTGGTCTGCTGCACTGGTCTGCTTGCCACATGTCTGTCCCCAGTCCAGTCCATCCTCTAACAAGCTGGCAAAGTAATCTTTCTGAAGCAAATATCTAATTGTGTAACCCGTGGCAATGTTAGGTATGACTAATATTTGAGTCCATTTTTTCCAAATTAAATATTAATTTAGCAAACATTTTTCTAAGTGGGCTTTTTGGGTGTTGGGTGTTGGGATTACAATACAAAGATGAAACAGAGCCAGCCTCTATCTTCAAAAAGCAAGATGTCCCATCTTCCTCAGCTTTTCAGATTCAGAGATTGGAATGGCTGTCAACGAACATGGTCTTCTTGCCTCTCAAGTCCAGCATCCTTATCTATTCACTGTGTGCTGCTGCCTTTCCAGTTGCTTAGGTCCCTTCCAGCTCTAAATCCTGTGGTCCTATGATTATATCTAATCTTCACAAAACCCCTGGGAAGATTAAGGCAGGCAGGCAGCATTATCATCATTGTGTTGATAAATAAATTGAGACACACAGCAGTTATTTGATGTAATATAGTAAGTTAGTGGCAAAGGCAGGCCTCCTAACTCCTATTTCAATTCTCTTTCTGCCATGGTGATAACTAAGAATTTAATATAGTTATGGCGTTCTCTCTCCTTCCTCTGTCAGAGACAGTTCTTCCTTTTTCCCACTGACAGTTCCTTTAGGTTATTATGAATTCCCTTCTGATTCCCCAAGTTGTGCAAATCAAGGATCATATGAGTTTCATGTGACTAACCTTTGCAAACTTCTTGAACAATTTCCCTTTTTCCATAAGCAATGAACCCTTTTCCCCTGGGAACCACTAGTGCCTTTAAGGTTTCTTTACATGGATACATTCTCTCTTTTTTTGCTTTATGGATTTCCAGAATTTTATATTTTTCTGGCTTCTGTCACCTTCCTTAAAATGGAAATTAAATATAGCAAACTCTGGATTTTCAGCAGTGAGGGGGAGGATCCAATGAGTGTTTGTTCCAGAAATAATGTCTACTTGATTTATGATGCATTCTTGACCTAACAAAGACATAAATCTCTAGTTTTCCTTTTCTCAAAGGGTTTCTTCAAATGGTATGTTTAATAGTTTGCTTACAGACAATTAACTGTTTACCCTGACTTTTACTATTTGCCTGATCTGTTTGTGATTGATGATAAAGCTCACAGCTCATATTTTAGAAATTGGATCTGCCAACAGAACCTGTGAAACAACATAAACCAATAGGCAATCCCAGAAGATACACTTTGTCTTATTTTTATGTGCCATAGAGATGGTTCTTGTTTGTTTTTTTCATTATTTTAAAGAAAAAAAATCAGGTGACTTTAATCTTTTATGTCTTACTTTGTGAAAGAGAAAACAATTCAAGTTGTTTTTAATTGGATGAGGTGTCCTAATAATCTGACTTGATTTTCTTGTTGCTTCTCCTAGGCCTGAATGCCAGGTTTGGACTGTGATGTTATTGTTGGGAACATGTCTCCTTTACTGTGCCCGGGTCACTATGCCCATCTGTGCTGTCTCCATGAATGAAGATTTTGGATGGAACAAGAAGCAGTCTGGGATCTTGCTAAGTAGCTTCTTCTGGGGTTACTGCCTAACTCAGATCATGGGAGGCCACCTTGGAGATCGGTGAGTTTACATTTTCCCATTTTGGGTGTTCCATTGCTTGGCATGAGATGACTTCCCTCATTCTGGTTCTCTTTCACCCAATCCCCATTTCCCCCACATTTTTTTAGGGAATGAGGACATCTGAAGCTTTGTCTTAGTTGGGTTTATGTTTATCAAGTTGGAAAAAAGGGGTAGGGAACAGAAGTATATAACAGGAGAGGAAAGGAAGTTTTGACAGGAAGGTTTTTTTTTTAAGAATAAAAGTAGTCATTTTCCTTTTAAACTGTAATGAAAGAAAGGATTCTAGATAAAGACATATTAGAGAGGCTATCCTCATAATTTAGAGCAATTATAGGTTAAGGGACCAAAGATAGTTTCTTAGATCTTGTTAGGGAAGGATGCATGAAGTGACCTAAATACATAAAAGGGCAGAAGAGTTGTAGGCTTTCTCATTTCCTGATTGACCTGATTTGTTTAGATGTTTAGAGGTATTGACTGAACAAAAGATGGCTTCACCTGCTATAACATTTCAACTGTGTACCCCCTTCCAGCTCCTCTTTAAAAAAAAGTTTTATTGTCACCTCTTCTCTTTATGCTGCAGTCATTTTCTCTTAATTCCTTAATCCTGCCCTGAATATTAAACCCCTTCCTTGTAGTAAAGGAAATATATGTATGTATGTATGTATGTATGTATGTATGTATGTATGTATACATGTATATATATGCTGGTGGACAGAGGAGGAACCAAGAGAAGGAAGGTGCTTTTCCTACTTTTCTAAGACTGAGAGAATCACAATTCATCAGATTTCAAATGCTTTTAATGTCATTATTACTTACATTATTGTATTCATGTTGTATATGATTGTCTTGGTAGTTTCTTCAGATGGCCTCACTTTATTCAAGTGTTCCCAATATATCTGAGATTTCCTCGTTTGTCATTTCAACCACAGGATACCACAGGGCAGAAGGAGGGAAGAGGGGAAAGGGAGAAAGAGGAGGAGAAGCGGAAAGGGAGGTGAGAGAAGGTAGAGAGAAGTAGAAGAGAGTAAGAGTAAGAAAGAGAAAAACAATAAAGAGTGGGAAGAGAGAGAAAAAAGAGAGGGGAAAGGGAAGAAGGAGAGGGAGAAAGAGACAGAAGTGAAAGAGAAAAGCAAGAGAGAGGAGAGAAGATGGGCAGAAAGTAGAAGGGAGGGAGGAGAGAGAAGGGAGAGACAGAAAGACAGAGATGGACAGAAAGATGGACATCAGAGAGAAGAACAGGAGAGTGAAGGAGACAAGAAAGAGAAAAAAGGAGTGGAGAGAGAGAAGAAAGGAGAGATTGAGAGAGAAGAGAGGAAAAAAGAGAGTAGTCTCCTTCCATTTCTTACTCTTTCTTTGATTGTGCCACCCTCTTTTTCCTCCCATGTAAATTCCATCTCCTCTCCCTTCCAGGATTGGAGGAGACAAGGTCATTTTGATCTCGGCCTCAGCCTGGGGTTTCATCACGGCTGTCACCCCATTGCTTTCCCACATCAGCAGTGCCCACTTGGTCTTTATGACTCTTTCCCGAATACTTATGGGGTTGTTTCAAGGTGAGTCTCTAAGAGGTAGCTTTTTTTTAAACTTTTTTTTCCATTTGTTTCTTTTTTAATAAACTGCTTTGACCCAAACAACCAGCAAAACCCAGACAAAGAATATGTATGTAGGTGACTATATCACACCTGTCAATCTATTGTTTTCGTAGTAAACTCTGTACTGTTGTGCACAAATGGGAAATAGATGTGTACTGGTAAGCAAATGAGAAAACACATAGTAATTGCTTTGAAAATTATGAAGTGCTGCCTAAATATAAGAAATTATTATTATTTTAAAAAAATATTTATTTTCCAATTTTATAAAATTTGTAAAAACAATTTTAAATAGTTTTTTAAAAAATTGTGAATGCCAAATTTTCTTCCTTCCTTTTTTCCTTCCTCCCTCATTGAGAAGGCAAGCAATTTGATATAGGTTATACATGTGCAATCATGCAAAACATTAGTCATGTTCTGAAAGAAAACACAGACTCTGCTCCCCAAAAAAACCCCCCCAAGAAAAATTTAAAAAGTAAAAAGAAAAAGTATGCTTTGATCTGCATTCAGGCACCATCAGTTCTTTCTCTGGCAGTGGATAACATTTTTCATCGTAAGTCATTCAGAATTGTCTTAGGTCATTGTATTGCTGAGAATAGATAAGTCATTCACAGTTGATTATCATACAGTATCGCTGTTACTGTGTACAGTGTTCTCCTGGTTCTGCCCACTTCATTTTGCATCAGTTCATGTAAGTCTTGCCTGGTTTTTCTGAAAGCATCCTGTTCATCACTTCTTATAGAACAATAGTAGTCCATCACAATCATAATTATAATCACAACTCGTTCAGCATTTCCCAATTGGACATCCCCTCAATTTCCAATTCTTTGCTACCACAAAAAGAGCTGTTATAAATATTTTTATACATATAAGTCTTTTTCCTTTTTTAAAAAGTTTTTTGGGATTCAGACCTAGTAACAGTATGTGGGTCAAAGGGTATGCATGATTTTATAGCCCTTTGGACATAGTTCCAAATTGCTCTCCTGAATAGTTGTATCAGTTCACAACTCTACCAGTAGTGCATTAGTGTCTCAATTTTCCCATATCCCCACCAACATTTATCATTTTCCTTTTCTATCATATTAGCCAATCTGATAGGTGTGAGGTGGTATCTCAGAGTTATTTTAATTTGCATTTCTCTAATCAAGAGTAGCAGAGCATTTTTCAAGATGACTACAGGTAGCTTTGATTTCTTTATCTAAAACCTTCCTGTTCATATCTTTTGATCATTTATCAATTGGGAATGATTGGTATTCTTATAAATTTGAGTCAGTTCTCTATATAGTTGTGAAATGAGGCCTTTGCCAGAGAAACTGCTGTAAAAATTTCCTTCCAGTTTTCTGCTTTCCTTCTTATCATGTCTGCATTGATTTTGTTTGTGCAAAAAATTTTGAATATAACATAATCAAAATTATCCATTTTACACCCTGCAATGCTCTTTATGTTTTGTTTGGTCACAAATTCTTTCCTTATCTTTGGCCTTATCTTGATATATGGCGTGAGATGTTGGTCTATATCTAGTTTCTGTCAAACTGCTTTCCAATTTTCCCAGCAGTTTTTGTGAAATAGTGAGTTCTTGTCCCAAAAACTTGGATCTTTGGATTTATCAAACACTAGATTATTATGATCATTTACTACCATGTATTGTGTAGTTAATCTATGCCACTGATTCACCATTCTGTTTTTTAGCCAGTAACAGATTATTTTGATTATCACTGCCTTTTGTAATATAATTTAAGATCTGGTACAGCCAGGCCACCTTCCTTCACATTTTTTCCCCACTGATTGCCTTGATATTCTTGACTTTTATTCTTCCAGATGAATGTTGTTATTATTTTTTTCTGGCTTTATAAAATACTTTTTTGGTAGTTTAATTGGTATGGTACTGAATAAGTAACTTAATTTAGGTAGAATTGTCATTTTTATTGGATTGGCTCATCCTACCCATGAGCAATTAATATTTTTCCAATTGTTTATATTTGGCTTTATTTGTGTGAAAAGTATTCTGAAATTGTGTTCATATAGCTCTTGGATTTGTCTTGGCAGGTAGACTGCCAAGTATTCTGTGTTGTCTGTAGTTATTTTAGAAGAAATTTCTTTTTTGATCTCTTCCAGCTAGACTTTGTTGACAATATATAGAAATGCTGATGATTTATATGGGTTTATTTTATATCCTGCAACTTTACTAAGATTGTTAATTATTTCAACTAGGATTCTCTAAGTGTTCCATCATATCATCTGCAGAGTGATAGTTTTGTTTCCTCATTGTCTATTATAATTCCTTCAATTTCTTTTTCTTCTCTTATTGCTAAAGCTAACATTTGTAAGTACTATATTGTGCAACAGTGGTGATAATGGACATCCTTGTTTTCACCTCTGATCTTATTGGAAATGCTTCTAGCTTATCCCCATTACAGATAATGCTTGCTAATGGTTTTGTTATTGATGTGGTCAATTGTGCTGATAGTTTTCTTAATATTGAACCAGCCTTGCTTTCCTGGTATAAATCCCACCTAATCATAGTGTATGATCTTTGTGATATATTGCTGTAATGTCTTTGCTAGTATTTTGTTTAAAATTTTGGGATCAATACTCTTTAGGGAAATTGGTCTATAGTTTTCTTTCTCTGTTTTTGCTCTTCCTGGTTTAGGTACCAGCACAATATTTGTTTCATGAAAGAATTTTGTAGGACCCTTTCTTTGCCTATTTTTTCAAATAGTTTATATAGTATTGGAATTAATTGTTCTTTAAATGTTTGGTGGAATTGTCTTGTGGATCCATCTGGTTCTGGGGATTTTTTCTTAGGGAGCTCATTGATCACTTCTTCAGTTTTTTTTTTCTAAGATAGTAAGTTATTTAAGTATTTGTTTCCCTCTTCTGTTAATCAGAGCAGTTTATATTTTTAAAATATTCCTCCATTTCACTTAGATTATCAGGTTTATTGGCATATAATTGGACAAAATATCTCTTAATAATTGCTTTAATTTCATGTACATTGGTGGTAAATTTACCCTTTTCATTTTAGTTACTGGTTTTCTTCTTTTAAATCAAATTAACCAGTGGTTTGTCTATTTTGTTGTTTTTTCATAAAACCAACTCCTAGTTTTATTTATTAGTTCAATGGTTTCCTTACTTTAAATTTTATTAATCTCACTTTAGATTTTCAGGATTTCCAATTTGGTGTTTAATTGGGGATTTTTGATTTGTTCTTTTTCTAGTTTTTTTTTGTTTGTTCATTTTTTCCAACCTATATTTTGACTTTAACTTTATGTTAAAGTCATGCTCTGCTCCCAGAATGGAGGGGCCACTGTCCTGAGCCATTCTCAGAGCCAGTTCTAGAGGTCTATAAGGTTTCAGTTCTTCCAAGGTGGTATGATCTAAGGAGAGGTGTGGTCACTGCTTTCCTGGCCTGTGCTCTGGTCTGTGAGTGACCACAAACATTCTCCTCCACTCTGGAACTATGACCAGAGTCCCCACTCTTGCTCATGCTTTTCTTTGCCCTAGAACTGTGATCTGGAACCATGTATGGGCAATACAACAGAATCCTGCTCCCAATGCCAGCAGAAGGTCCCCTGTAATCTCCTTTTGACCAATTGTACGACCCCTTTACACTCTGTGGACTGAGAACTTGGGAAGCCAAAATGTACACACTGCCAAAGCCTGTTGCTGGCTTGCTAGGTACAGCCTTGGCTGGCCTGCACTCTACTCTCACCCCAATGAAACAGACCTTTCCTGCCAATCTTCTAAGTTGTCTTGGGCTGGAAAATTGTTTCATCCCATCCTTTTGTTGGTTTTTGCCACTCCAGAATTTGTTTTGAGCTGTTATTTTAATGTTTGTAGGGGAATTTAGGAAAGCTCAGGCGAATCCCTGCTTTTACTCTTCATCTTGGCTCCATCTCCTATGAGGAATTATTATTATCAAACATTCTGGTGACTAGAGGTAATGATCTCTATGTGTAACATTTTGCAGTTTACAAAGAACTGTCCCTATATTGTTTTGAGTCTCACAACAGCCTCAGGAGGGAGGCAGAACAGGTATTCATTCAGACTCCTCACACAGTCTTGCTGAGTCCTTCTGTGACATTCTTGATAGTTTTGCAGTCACTTGAAGGCCACAACACCTTAAAGGTTAGTAATTCTGTGTTTCCAGGTGCTAGAAAGTCCTCTGATCTTCATTAATTTTTCCTACTTTTCTCAGGACAGGGTTGAAATCTTCTACCTGGCTTTGTGGCCATTGGCAAGTCTTTTAACTACTCTGAGACTGAGTTTCCTCATCTGTAAAATAGGTATAACAACACATATAGTACTTACTTTGCAGCTTTTTTGTGAGGGAAACAGTGTTTGTGCTATGTTAATTTCTGTTGTTGTGTGGTGGTGTGGTGGTGGTGGTGGTGGTGGTGGTGGTGGTGGGTGGTGATGGTGATGATGATGATTTTAATCGTCCTTAAAATGGGGAGCTGGTTAAACCCATCCAGGTACTCTCTAGGACAAATCATCTAACCACATTAAATGAATATGTATGTTTGTTGAATGAATGAATGAAAGAATGAAGGATTTGGGAAGGCATTAGTCTTTCCCTTTGGTTTGATTAGTCTGTCTTTTTCGTTCCAGGGGTTTATTTCCCTGCCTTGACAAGCCTGTTGTCTCAGAAAGTCCGAGAGAATGAGCGAGCGTTCACCTATAGCACTGTGGGTGCAGGTTCCCAGTTTGGGTAGGTTCCACTTGCATAGTAATGAGATACTGGGGTTAGGGGGAAGGGCAAAAGGAAAAAAGGAAGGATGAGTTCATGCAATCATGTCATGCTCCTCAAGCCAAGAGAGCTGCTGTTGAATTTGAGCCACAAACGATTCAGCCTCCCAAGAATGACACATGGGAAGAAATACCAGGAACTGTTTGTGGCAGCAAAGGACATCAACACAGGGCACATCTGCATCTCTGGATGACAGGCATCCTGGAGGGCATCATTTTTAGATGTGGAAGCCTGAGGCTGTTGCTCCAGGAGACAAACAGAGACTTGTTCCTGAAACTATTCATGCCCTTTGAAATGCAGTTCCTTTATGCACATTTCCCTCTCTTGGTGTCAGGAGGGTTTGGGGGTTTTTGGTTGGCAAATGGCAGAGGGGGGACCGTCACTTCATCTGTCTCTTTTTCATCTGTGCCAAGTGAGATGAGGTAGGTCATTCCCTGCTCCCTTTCTTCTTTTCAAATTCCCTCTATAGTTGTCCTGATGTGATTTTGGACAGCAGGTGTTGCGGCATAGATGAGGCAGCAGGACCATAGGGCATGGAAGATAGACAGACATAAGGGCTTCACATGGTTTCTAGTTAGAGTTTAATTTGTTTGACTGTATAATGTCTCAGCCTCTGTCTTCTTTTAAGCACAAACAAACCCCCCCGCCCCAACCATGTGTGGGGGCAGTTGGAGAAAGACAGGTTGGTTGGGGGAGGGGAGGTCATATCAGCATCATTTTGCTTCTTAAGATACTTTGTTCTGAAGAAACAGAAGGAATGTGTTATAGGAAAACTACAGGGGTGTTTGCTGTGTTAAAATTTTGTAGTATTTGATATTGGTTGAACAGACCTTTGGCTAAGACTTCAAAATTTTTCTTTTGGATTGAGATTTTTCTTACATTTGCATTAGAACCTAAGACAACTCACACCAAGGTGGCCCAGTGGATTGAGCACTGGCTTGGGAGTTGGGGGTCAGGGTTCTACTGTGAGTTCTGTGATGAATTCACTTTGAACAAGTAACTTTCTATCTCTGGGCTTGAGTTGCCTCACCTGTTGATAAGGGTTTGGATGCTGAGATGCTTTCCAGATTCAGCATTCTAAATTCTAAATTTTGTGGAATTTGGTAGCTGGAAAGAGAACACACCTGACATCTAGTCCAATCTACATTGAACAAAGAATCCCCTTCCCAAATTACCCAATGGTTGGTCTTGCAGTCTTTGTTTGAAGACCTCTACTACCTGCTTTAGGATTGCTCTAATTAGTAAAATTTACCTCTTTGTGCCTTCTACCCAGTGCTCATAACTCTGCTCTCTGGCAGAACACTGAACAGGTTAATCTTTCTTTCACGTGATAGGTCCATACGTACCTGAAGGAAGAGACCATATCCTCTCTCAGTTTTCTCTTCTTCACATGAAACATTCAGAATTCCCTCAAACCATCCTCACAGGACACTTACTGAAGAGACTGGTGACACCTATCCTCTGGACATTCTCCAGTTTATCGATGTCATGCCCACCTCCCAACTCTTCCCCCCCACCCCATCCGAACACAATACTGAAGATATAGTTAAACAGGGACAAAGGATAGCTGTACTATTATCCCCTTTCATTCCTGAAAGCTACGTTTCTTAATGCAATTTAATAGTGCATCAGATTTTTCAGCTTGCATGTCACACCACTGATGCATATTGAGTTTGCATTCCACTAAAAGCTTTAGATCTTTTATTTCCATATTCGTGAGTTCTGACATTCCAGATTTCTCTCTTCCTCATATTCCTGTTCTTTATCCTCACCTTTCCCTCTACTCCCTCTGCTCCTCAGGTCCACCCCAGGTCATCAGCTCTTCCCTATCCCTGATTCTATATAAAGCCTCAACCTTGGGTTACTCTCACCTTCTACTTCCTTTGACTCTATTCATGTGCTTCTGAATGGAGCTAGAGAAAATTGCAAAACCGAGCTATGTCCGCTATAAATTTATATTACATAATCTCAGCTGGGGGTCCTCATTGCTCTAAGGCAATCCTTGTAACACCTCCCTAATTGATTACCATCCCACTCTCCACAGCAGTTATTCCAAACCTTTTCATTCTGCTCTTAAGCTTTCTAGGACATCTCCTTCTTTCATGCTCTCAGGTGAAGACCTTGCTTTATAGATCACTGAAAAATATTAAGGCAATTCACCAAAAGCTTCCTCTTCTCCCCTCCTCCTCATCTCACATCACTTAGATGTCTTTCCCTCTTCTCTCTTCCTTCATTTCTATGTCACATGAAGAGTGAGTTAGCCCTTTTCCGTGCTCAGGCAAACCTTTCTTTGTGCACCTTTGATCCTATTACATCCCATCTTCTCAAGATCTCTGTCTTCTCTCCCTCATCATCCCCATTCTCTTACTAATCTTCAGTCTTTCCCTTTCTGCTGTTTCTTGCATAAACCGGCCCAGTTCTGCCTTGCCAGTCTCCTTGGAGTTGACACTCCTCCAAACACTCTATGATCCAGTGGCATTGGTGTTCTTGCTGTTTCTCACCATTCTCCGTTTTCTGACTCCATGCATTTTTACTGGCTGTCCCTTATTCCTAGAATACTCTCCCTCCTCATTATTACCTCCTAGCTTCCCTAGCTCTGTTTAAGTCTCTCCTAAAGTCCTACCTTCTATGAGAAGCCTTTTCCGTATCTCCTTAAATGTTAGAGCTTTTCCCTCTGAGAGATTATTTTCCATTACACTGTATGTGTCTTGTATGTATATGGTTGTTTGCCTGTTGTTTCCTCCATTAGAATGTGAACTTCCTGAAGCAGGGATTGTGTTTTTGCCCTACTATGTATCTTTTTACTTAGCATGGCACCTCACACATAGTAAAAATGTAATAAATGCTTGATGACACAAACTGATGCCTATATGCCTCTACCATCTTATACTTACAAATTCAATTTTTTGAACTCAAGAATAAGACTTTTGATTTGGCCCAACATTTTAGCCTGACAGAACTTTTTGAAACCTTGATTCTCATCCAAGGTGTCAGCCAAGTCTGAAAGTCACTTTTTTTTTTTAAACAAGATTTGAAAACCAGTTTTCACCTTTAAGCCCTCGGTATAGACTTTGTAGTCTTCCAAGAGGCATAGATCATGTTGGGTGCAGAGCACACCATCACCTTTTGAATTAACTAGTTCTTTTCCCCTTGGGCCAGATAATGACCCAGGCCCCTTGGTATCGCAGAGGAACAGGGATCTAGAGTTAGAGAACCCGAGTTTGAATCCTGGTTCTGCTATCTACTAGGTCTGTGACCTTATGCAAGACACTTAACCAATCTGAGTCTTAGTTTCTTTATCTATAAAATGATAGGTTTGGACTGAATGACCTTTAAGGGCTTCTCGTTTTAAATGTTGTGATCTATGATTTTAAATATACCAAAAATTGTTCTCCTCCCAGCCTCATTTTTCAAATGCCCTGAATGTCTGTGTTCTGTTTGTCACTGAAGGAGCTATGTAAAGCCATATTGAAGTATACATGGAGATGATGAAGTTGAGGAGACTTTAGGTGACAAATATAAATTTGATCATCTCTTTCAACATGGACCTCAAGAGAAATAGAGAATAGAAATACAATGAAAATCCAAATGTCCCACCAACTTTGACAGGGAAGTCAAATTTAATAGCAGCCTCTTTATTTTATTAAGAAAAGTTTTATTGATATACTTTGTTTTATTATTTTCTTTTACATCACAGTAATTTCCTGATATATCATGCTTCCCAACATAGTATCCTCTCATACAAAGGGAATCATTTAAATAAAACTAGTCAGTAAAATGTCCTTTTGTGATAGCCTTAAGTTGAAATATCTGACATTCAGCCCCCGTAGTCCAACACATTTCTAGTGAGAAGAGGGAAGATTATTTTATGATCTGTTTCCTTGGACCAATGTTGGTCATGGAATTTGATTGAAGTTTAGTTTCTTTTGTGTTTTATGTTATTTTTTGTTCAGCTGTTTCAGTCATGTCTGACTAAAAACCCCATTTGGGGTTTTCTTTACAAAGATACTGGAGTGGTTTGCCATTTCCTTCTTCAGCTCATTTGATAGATGAGGAAACTGAGGCAAGCAGGGTTAAGTGATTTGCCCGGGATCACATAGCTAGTGTCTGAAGCTGGATTTGAATTCAGGTCTTCCTGACTCCAGGCCTGGTGCTCTATCACTCTGTGCCACCTAGCTACCCACTACATTATTTTAGTCAATGCATATACAGTCCTTCTGACTCTGGTGAAATCCTACAGATCTTTCCATGTTTTTCTGAATTCCTTATAATCATCATGTCTCATAAATGCAATAATATTCCATTACCTCCATATACCTCAATTTAGTCAGCCATTCCATAATCCATGGGTACCTGCTTTGTTTCTAGAGCATTTTTTTTTGGTAACCATAAGAAGTCATTTATGATTTTTGATCTACATAATGAGTTTTTCTTAATGTCTTTGCCCTCATTGGGGTATATATACAGTAGCAGAATTATTGGGTCAATGGGTATGAACAATTTAGTGACTTTTACAACCATCTCTTTTCCTTTTCTTGTTTTAGGACGTTGGTGATAGGAGGAGCTGGCTCTCTCCTCTTGGACTGGTATGGCTGGCAGAGCGTCTTCTACTTCTCTGGTGTGCTCACTTTGATTTGGGTCTATTTTATGTACAGATACCTGCTGAGGGAAAAAGGTAATTCCCAAGATGGCCCTTCCCCAGAAACAGTTCTGATGCTGTCTCTTAGGGTGGTACCTTGTGGACCAGCTACTATCTTCCCATCAGAGTTGGTAAGCTCCTGAAGGGAAATAAATTGAAGCAACAGAGTGCCTTCCTCTTGTGGGAAGAGCTCCTAAGAGAGGTTGCTGACAAGTGTGCTTTTGGCTTTGCAACAAGATAACTTTCATCTGGGGTCAGATGCTCAGGTTGTCTTACAAAAGAGCCTTTTTGGAGCTGTCAGCAAAAAGTTAACTTTAGTTGAGTTGTCATAACTGAGAGATTTGACTTTGAAGCCCAAAAGACTTAGGCTCAAGTCCTTAGGGCCAGAAGACCTGGGTTCAAGTCCTGCTTCTGACACATCCTAGCTGTGTAGTCCTAAGACAGTCCCTTCACTACTTAGTGCTATGAGTAACTCTCTAACATTCTAAGTTGCAGAAAAGGTACCGGCCTTTCGGTAGAGGACATTTCCTATATAAATTAAATCATGGGTTCGGTTCCTATCCTGTAAATTTACCAAATCTAGAATAGGAAGTTCACTTATAAGACTCTGGACAAAAGAAATATTTCTAGGGGATCGCAAAACCAAATCAGATTGCATTTGCTGTGAAAAGGGTAGTTAAAGATTAATAACCAAGGACCAGCCCTATTCTCCATGGTCTTAGGGGAAGAGATATTTTTAATAAAGTGGCTGGTTTCACTTTTCTCAATTTTTTTTCTTGCGAGTGGTCTGGAGTTAGGCACAAATATGAATTCAATGATAGGACTGTTTACTGTTTCTTAATAGGTTCTCAGCAAATACATCCTGAATAAGTGAATAAGAGCATTCATTTCCACTAAATGCGTATAGATGTCCTGCATGAATTGACTTATTCCTGTGCATTGGGGGTTGCACAATTATATATGATAACTGTCCTCATTGGAAATGACCTCCATTAATTCCAAGTAAACATGGTATATTTAATGGTACTGAATGAAGATTTACTTTTAAATGTTTCTTTCCTCCAGAACTTGCAATATCCTTGGAAATTTTGGCAAAAGCCTTTTCCATTTCCAAGCAGAAAAAAATTCCCTGGAGACAGTTATTTCGGAGACCTCCTGTGTGGTGAGTAAACATTTGCATGGTTGGTTAGAATATAGTGGTAAGGGGACTGGGGTTCTGGGTTCAGTCCCTTGGAGAGTCCGTTAGCTTTTCTGTGCACCAAAGCTACAGACTGTCTCTGGCCTGAGTATGCCATTTTGAAAAGGTGTGCTACCAGGTAAAAGGGAAACTGCGTTCAGAGCATATATACATGGCTCAGGGCAAATGCCTGCTATTGAAGAAATAACTCAAAGTTCAGGTCCTGGTGATAGTCAGTAGTTATATATTTATATACAAAGGACACATATTTCAGAAACTTTGTGGGCTGTTACTTTAGGCAAACTCCAACACACTACTGCTACCTCCTTTCTTTGGTTACTTAATGGACCTGCCAGTTTGTTTGGTGTACGGTTGGATTCACTCTTTTTTTCCCCTAGAGCCCTCTGGACCTGTCAATTCCCTTTTTGTTTCTTCTCTTACAGGGCAGTCATATTTGCTCAGCTATCTTCTGCTAGCTCATTCTTCATCCTCCTTTCCTGGCTGCCAACGTTTTTTAAGGAAACTTTCCCCAACTCTAAGGTAGGTTGACCTGTTCCTTAAGGGGTGGGTGAAAGGATTAAAATTACCACTTGCTGGGAGAGCAGTCAACTGAAGCTGGAATACACACATAGATACATTCAAAATGTTTGGATTAGAAGGAATTGCTTTTGATTCTGGCATCACGCAGATCAATGGTTGTATTTGGCCAACAGTCTATTATTATACTATATGATGTGTGCTTTATATACCTTACATTGAGGCAGTGTGGTGTAATGGTTAGAGAGCCAGCCTTGAATCCAAGAAAATTGCCTCTGATCCATACTTGTTGTGTAACCTAGGCAAATTACTTAACCTCTCAGTGCTTCTGACATCGTCCCTTAAGAAATTTGTTTTTATTACTCTTTTATTTTTATGTTGCCTAGATTTCTCTTCACTTCCCATTGAGCCAGCCTAATAATAAATATTTTTTAAAATAAGAAAAAGAGAAAAATAATTCGGCAAAACTGATCAAAACAGCAAAGTCTGGCATCATATGCCACACTCATAGCTCCCCATACCTCTGCAAAGGAATGGGGAGAGGTTTTTTTCTTATATCACTTGTAAAGTAGATTGTACTGTTATTTTTTGTTTTTATACTCAGCTAGGTTTTCTGTATCTTTCTCAGAAAGTCATTCCCTTTAACAAAGATTTTTTTTTTGTGGCTAGGCAATGGGGTTAAGTGACTTGCCCAGGGTCACACAGCTAGTAAGCAGTAAGCATCCGAGGCCACATTTTAACTCAGGTCCTCCTGATTCCAGAACTGGTGCTCTATCTACTGCACCACCTAGCTGCCCCTCAAAGATTATTTTTTTAGAGAAAAAGAGGAAGAAGAGAAGTTGCCCTCCCCCCAACAAAATTGAACAACACATTGTAAAAATCCGACATCAAATGCAGTGCTCACTCCCACCCCATAGATCCCACACTTTTTTTTTTTAGGCAATTGGGGTTAAGTGACTTGCCTAGGGTCACACAGCTAGGAAGTGTCAAGTGTTTGATCTGAGGCCAGATTTGAACACAGGGCCTCCTGACTTCAGGGCCAGTGCTCTATCCACTGTGCCACCTAGCTGCCCCGAGATCCCACACTTTTGCAGATGAGTGGAGAGGTGTCTTATTATATATCTTCTTTGAGGACAGACTTGTTCTTTATAATTTTATACATTTATTTTCAATTGTTTTATGGTAGTTTTTTTCCCCATTTATGTTGCTGTAGTCATTGTGTATTGTTTTCTTGGTTTTGCTTCACATCAAATCAGTTCGTGTAAGCAGTTTCATTTTTTCTCTTTGTTATTCATCATTCTTGGTTTTTTTGCAGTAGTGCAGTAATATTCCATTACATCCATTTGTCACAATTTGTTTAGCTAATTCCCTATTGAGGGGCATCTACTCTGCTTCCAGTTTTTTTTTTTTTGCCATTACAAAATATGCTTCTATAAGTATTTTGGCTTCTGTGAAGCTCCAAACAGTGCTCTAAGACTATACGTTTCAGAGAAGGTACCAACCTGCCTTATTAGAGGGAATTTTCTCACCTGGAAGTTCCCTATAAAAATGAAATCACAGGTCTAGTCCTTATCCCAGTCCCTTTCTTTAGCTAACATTATGTACTACATCTAAGCCTGTTATAACCATTGCTTCTGTTCTTATTATGGCTACTTTAATACCCTCTCAGTCACCATCAATGCCATCATTTTGGAATGTGAGGTCCAAAGATATGTTAATTCTCAGAATAGATACCGAAGCAACTAAACCTTATACTCTTGTAGCAGCTACTTGGGAATTTCATTGTTGAACATTTGCTATCAAAACTTTTTCCACTGGGCTTTGTAGCCGTCTTTGTGACAGCTCCTGTTTCTGCAGCTGCATTAGGATGAGACTTCTAGATGAAGAGTAGAGTTGGATCAATGAGAGAAGAAATCTGTATCTCCTGCTGATCGGTGGGCTCCCTGCAGAGCTCTCCTGCAGCACCCCTGTCCTCTTGGTTCAGGAACCAGCTTCTATTTGTGTTTCCCAGGGGGCTGGTGATTCTTCAAGGTCCCTTATATTCTTCCTTTCCTATTTTGAGTTGCTCACAGATGATGGACACAATTTGTTTGTCTGAGTATTACCCCACAGTGATAGACCTGATCAGGCAGTCCCCTGAAAGGGAGGGGAGGGATCTCAGACTTTTCTGTATGCCGTAACATTTCTGCTGAACTTAAAACAGACCTTCCTCTGTGGTCCCCAGATTCCAGGGTGTTAAAATAAGCATGGCTGTTGACAACAAATCACCCATAAGGGGGCGTGCACACACAACACACACACACACACACACACACACACACACACACACACACACACACACCCCCTCTCTCTTGTCATCCTGGCCATCTTCCCCAAAGGGTTGTTAATCATGAAAGTACACAGACACAAATATAAGGAAAATGCCAACCTCCAACCCTCCACCTTTCCAACTGCATTGATCTGCTGCTGCAGGGTCCTACCTAGCTCTCTCTCTTTTCTTCTGTGTGACCACCAACAACATAATTTTATTGGGGTATTTTTTCATACAAATTCTGATGTGGACCCTCTCCTTAAATCTCTGTGCTGACGAAATAACCCCACTGCTAACCCTGTCCACCCCCACCCCCCACCTTTAAATACCAGCCTTGTGTATTTTTACACCATTGTGGTAATGCCATGGCCATCCATCATTAACCTCATTGTTGTAACTTGCAATTCCATGCCCAGACTGCTTTTTTTTTTTTGTAGGAAAAAATACTCAAAAGATCAGAGGAGTCTGGAAAGGGCCTGTTGTATAAAACCTAGGGGGAGTCAGTAGCAAAGGCCTATGGCCTAAGCTCTGAATATTTGATCTAGTAGCCTGACTTCCTGACTTCCCAGAAGGTTGCTTAATTTTCCCTCTGGGGTTATTTTATCTTTTTCAGGGCTGGGTGTTCAATGTCGTCCCCTGGCTGATTGCAATCCCTACCAGCGTGTTTAGTGGGTTTCTTTCGGATCACCTCATCAGTCAGGGTAAGGACTGTCTGCTGCTCCCTCCTGCTTCCTGCTAGCTTGGTCCCCAGTTCCTGAGATAGAGCAATCATGGATAAATATACCCTCCCCTTAAGCCCCTCTGTGCATCTTCTTTTCTCCGAGGCCTCCTCTCTCCCCAGTTGTGTTGAAAGCTAGAGGCTGGGGCTGAGGAAAAGTTGTTGGTTGAAGAGCATAGAGAATTGGACTGCACCTCTTTCACTTTGACATGCCATACCCCTCATCAGCAATAAAGGGACAGGATTGTCCAGTAGTTTCTAGAGATACTGCCTGCAGTACAGGCTTTTCCTTTTTTTTTTAAGTCTTTTTTTCTTATTAGGAACATCAGTAAACAAGAAAATTTTCACATACGAAGAAGAGCATAAAGAGAATACTGTGTATCATACAAAACCGTGAATCTCTATTATGTGCAATTTGGGCTTAAAAACATTTATTATTTCTTTATTTTTCACATTCATTTTTCAAAAATTTTGAGTTGTGAATTTCCTTCTTTCCCGTCCCTCATCCACTCGTTGAGAAGGCAAACAAAAGCTTTTCCTTTGTAAGGCTAGGGTGGAAACCACTCCATTTAGCTCTAATAGAAAAAGAGAGAGCTATGGATTTAATCACAGAGTGTTCCTCCCTAGTCAAGGTACCAGAGCCAAGTGGGGGTGGTTTCCACCTCACCTTTAAATCCTCACATAAATATTGAAGACAGGAGGAGGAGGATGAAGCAGGAAAATGACTTGATTAAGTATTAGGAAATATTGATTCTAGTCCTAGCCCAACCACTAAGTACCAATTGCTTAAGCTTTGGGTGAGTCACTTCTCTTCTCTTTGACCTCAGTCTCTTCTGTAAAATAAGGGTTAGACTAGGTCATTAAAAACATGGGTAGCAGGAAGACCCTATGAATTTAAGATTATGATTCTCCTAGCTGATTTTTTTTTTAAAGGAAATCCTTGATGTTGCAAACTTGGGGCAGCTAGATGGCACAGTGGATAGAGTTCTGAGCTTGGAGTCAGGAAGACCTGAGTTCAAATATGACCTTAGACACTTAATAGCTCTGACTCAGGTCAAGTGACTCTGACTCTCACCCTAACACTAAATTTGTCTCAATTTCCTGATCTGTCAAATGAGCTGGAGGAGGAAATGGTAAGTCACTCCAGGATCTTTGCCAAGAAAACCCCAAATGGGGTCATGAAGACTTAGACAGACTGAACAAAACAAAACAAACAAAAAACCCCACAAGTTGTAAATTCTTCTAACTCTGGATTAAAGGACATCATTAACCTTTGTGGGTTGATCATATTACATCTGGGTGTTGATCAGTTGTCATGATTTGACCTGTGGCATATGAAAATAATACTGTACATTGGAACTTTTCTAAGCCCTTTCAAGTCTCTCATCTCATTTAATCCAAATCTATGTCATACTGAACTGTGTTATCCTGGTACTCCTAGATGATGGTAAACAGACATGTGGAGGTACACATACACACATATCCCCATGACCCTTTGACATATCAAATATTTACATTCATGCATGTAAGCATTTGCAGACATGTTAACTTGAACAGACATATGCATCCATATTTATAAGCTCATGTGTATATGTACATACATGTATATACTTGTATAACTCAATTCAAATCAGCAATGAACGAATGAAAAAAAGCATTTAAGTGCTTATTGTGTTCTAGGCACTATGATAGGGTCTGGGGATACAAAAACAAAAGATAAATAATACCTGCCCTCCAAGGAGTTTACATTTTTTTGGAGAGGTGTAAACCAATACTGACATAAAATTTCTTGAACAGCCAGCTTTGTATTTCCCAGCAGAATACCCTGGGGCCTCAGAAAGGTCAGGACCTGATTGATCACTGATATACCTTTTTGTTTTTTTTCCCTTTTATCAAAGATTCTTAGTAGTAGCATATAGTATGAAGTAACAGTCTCATTTTCCCAATTTCAGGTTATAGAACCATCACTGTGCGCAAATTGATGCAGGTATGAAATAAAGTTTGACTTTTATCTCAGATTCTTCCTGTCTCACTTTTCACGGCCCAGGGAATTTCCCTGATAGTTGGATCCGTTCTTCTAATGTTGCTTCTCTTTTTGAATGAGGTCAACATGTAGCACATCTGGCATAAGTCAGATGTCTTGTTCACCTATGGTTCTATATAAAGGGTGGTAGAGAGGTTAACACATGAGGTGACAGGCTTTGACTCAAGGCCTTCTTTCTATTCTGGCTTGTTGAGCAATCTTTTCTCTATAAGTGAGTTTACTTATAAAATGGGAGCAATTCCTACTTAATTTCCTCGTGACCAAACTATGAGGCTCATTTGCCTCTTTCCTCATCTGAGATCAGCAGCTGGAACTGTCTGCTGAGGCACTAGCGGCTGCTAAATGGAGAAGTTACTCAAGAGGAGAGCAGTCCTGCTATTCAGAGAAATTTTGGCTTTCCTCATGAAGGTTGTTTCAGAGAATTAAGGATGACCTATTCCCGCCCCTCTTGCCAAGATGGAGAGTTCTTTCATACTCTGAAGCTGGGTTCTCCGAGCCAGTGCTAGTAACTTTTCTGTTTCTCTAACAGGTAATGGGGTTAGGCCTGTCCAGTGTGTTTGCCTTGTTTCTGGGTCACACAAGGAGCTTTTGTAAATCTATTATATTTGCATCAGCTTCAATCGGACTCCAGACTTTTAACCACAGGTAAGAGCCTTCTCTCTCTACCTACTAGATGGTCATCTATTCTGCGTCATGCTCACGTTTACCCCCATCATCTAGAACAGTGATCAGCACATAGTAGGTACTCAATAGATTGGTGCTCAACCTGTGTATTGCACTTTGCAGATGAATTTTAAAGTCATCCATGTATCTCTAGGTGTTGTGACTTGTCTTTCAATTCTAAGATGTGCCACTGAGCAGATTATGAATACTGAAACGAGGGTTTTGAAAGGGAAAACTGTCCATGTGGCTGGTTTGATTTTTTTACATTTATATTCCATAATATTCTGGTTGAATCGCATCTTTGAAAGATAATTTAATGCATCATCATCTGACTTCTCTCTTCCTTTTTTTCTCTTTTCCTTGCTCAGATAATTTCTTTTGAATTAACCACTTAGCATTGCTTTTTAAGTGAATGACTACTAAATTGCAATGCAAACATTACAGTTGGCATTTACATGATTTGCTATTTTTTTCCTGTCATTTCCACTCATAATTTTTCACCGCTGTACTGAGAGCTACTGTGCCCATTTTGTAGATGAGAAAACGGAGGCACCAAGAAATGCGATGGGTTGCGCATGATCACAAAGAAGATTAATGTCAAAGGCTATACTAGAGCTCAGGGTCTACATATACCTAGCTAGGAGCCTTGCTAATAAATTTAAGGTTATAATAATACCTGGGGTGGCCAAAGTCTTTTTGGGTTGTTTTAGTTATTTTTCCCTCACTGAATTAATATCACTCTTTCCTTTGATTTTTCTTCTTTATCATTCTTGGAAAGTTTAGTCAAGTGAAGGGATCTCACCTGCTGCATGTACTGTTCCGATTCTGCCAGAACTCACCTTCATTTTCTTTTCTGTTTTACAATAGTGGAATTTCAGTTAACATTCAGGACCTGGCCCCATCTTGTGCTGGCTTTTTATTTGGTGAGGATGCATTTTTGATTCTGAATAGAGAAGATGGTTGTTTCCCCCAGCCCTGGGAAGGAATTCATCCCAAAGGAGCCAGCCTTATAATCATTCCTTGGCTAGGAGGCCTTTCCCATGTTGTTTCCCAGCCTGTCCCCAGAAGGCAAGGCCACCGGAGGGGGGGGGGCAGTGTCTAAGGATTCAAGCCCCCTGCTGCTCTACCCGGGGGGGGGGGCACGGGAAGCACAAACAGGGAGGTCATCAACATAGGGCACACTCCCATAACTATCAAAAGAAAGGTTTGCCATCACTTTTCTTTTCTTTCTGTCTTGCTCACAGGCGTAGCAAACACAGCTGGAGCTTTGGCAGGTAAGTAAGTACACAGCTCAGAGAATTAAATCCTGAGCTCAGCCAGAGTTCTGACCTTCCTAACTTACTGATGAAAGTTATGCTGTAAGTGACTGTACCTTCTAGAACCAAACCTATCTGGGAAATCAGTCTGGAGACCTCATCCTCAGAGTGAACACAGTCCATTTTGTTTCATTTATGTGGTTAAGGTTAATACTTTCATGTACAAGGTGACCTCTGGAGGACCCCAGAAAGCCTTATGATGCAGGAACCGTTTGCACTGCAGACTGAGGCACAGACATTGGCATAAATTATATGTTTATCCAAATGTTGGAGCAGGCAGTGAACACATGGGACTTGTTGCCCTGAAAGGTTGTTTATCAGCTAAAAATAGACATTTGTTCTAGCAAAGTTAAGAGAGAACCACAGGTAACATCTTACAATGGGTTGTTATCCTAGAATTTCAGTTAGAAGCAGGATTGTGCTGGTCAATATTTAACAATCAGTTCTCTAGGGGGAAAAAGGTACCCATGGCACATTTCTAAATTTAATATGTATTATTCAAAATTTCTCCATCATTTTATTAAGTCTAGACAATCAACAAATCAATGCATTGGGTCCTGATTTATAGTTTTGCTGATTTTCTGAGGTGTAAATGATTAAACTGAAATGACCAATGGGCTCTTATGAACTGTTTGAGCTGGCTTTAACATACCCTTGGTTGGAAAGGACCTTAGAAGTTATCTGTGACTTCTCGTGTAGAGCAAGGGTTTTCTCTGCAATCCCTCACAGGGGATCATCCAACTCCTGCTTGAATACTTTATTATTTTTAAAGCAAGTGATAGCTTTAGCTGTTAGAAAGTATTTTCTTACATATCTATCATGTAATTTCTATCCATTTGCTTTAGTTCTCTTTTCCAGAAGAGCATACAGAACATGGCTCCCTTTTGCACATTATAGGCCTTTTAATATTTGAAGATAGCTGTCATGTCCTGTCTCTCCTCCCTCTCCCCCAGTCTTCTCTTTTCCAAACTTAACATCCCCAGGTCCTTCAGGTTTTCCTCACGTGACATAATTCCAAGAAACCTCTCCATCCTAGTCACCTTTTCTTGGATCTGCTTGCCAACGTACCCCCTAAAGCATTGGTGCCCAGATCTGAATAGAAGATGTCAGAAGTTAAGAGTTGTTTGGAACGTATCTCAAACCCCTGAGAGGACCATCCCAGATACCTGATTCCACATCCCACTGTTAACCTTGCAGGTATTTGATCCAGGATGACATGAGTCATTTTAGTTGTAAATCCTTTCTTCCTTTCTCTCCTGGATTCAGGTGTTATTGGGGTATGCCTAGGAGGATATCTGATTGAAGCTACTGGCTCCTGGACTTCAGTTTTCAATCTTGTGGCCATCATTAGTAATCTAGGACTCTGCATGTTCCTGGTATTTGGAGAAGCCCAGAGGGTGGATTTCAGCTCTGCTTATGAAGACCTTTAAGTCCCCAACCTCATGCTGGAAGCTGACTACTCGGACAACAAAGAGTTGCATTCCCATTTGATTGTTCATGGGGGAAAATATCCAGTTTTCTAAGGGGAAAGGTTGGTTTTTTCCAGAGGGAAAGAAAAAACATTGTGGGCTTGAGGAAAATGGGGAAGAGGCAAAGACCTGCTCAGATATTAACTGCAGTCATTTGCTACCCTCAGGTCTTACCTGATCACAGTAAGAGCCTGCTCTATGCAGATTGAGGTGAAGTTATCTTTCAGGATACCTTTGGGGAGGTATGGCCTTGACTAGTCCATTGACCTATAAGGAAAATTTACTTTTGGGTTGAATTCTCAGGCCTTAGAGAGTTTGTGCATTGACATTGGAGACTGATCTCTCCTGCTGCCCCAAATGCCTTTTCCTTTTGGACAGCGGACCTTTTTAGGTTACTCAGATCTCCTTCCCCAACGGCAGTACTTTGGCCTGTCAAAGCCAGGTGTGAAATCCCCAGAGATAAGGATCTCCGGGGACCTTTTCCACTGCTTCCAGGGCAGTTCGGATCTAGTTGGACCAGTTGTGTTCCATGCAGTCAATAGAAAAGCGTCAGCTGTGAGTCCCATTTGATCCTGTGGATTCAACACACACACATACACACATTGTTGCTCGCTCACTCTCAGCGGCTCTGTGTGTGTTCTTACTTTGCATTCTGAGAATGCAGGAGACATTCCAGATAAGCCATGGCTAGATGGCAGCTGGCTATGGGATTCCTCTGCAATAGGGGCTCCATAGTCCTTTGAGTACTACCCAACTAGACATCAATTTTTTGTAGTTGTATGGTTTTTTTTTCTTCATTTCAGGGGAAAGCTAACCATCTGTGGCCCTGAGAAACAATGTTGTTTAAGGAGTCCAAGACACCTCAATGGAAATTCAGATTGCCACAAGGCCTTGGGAAGGACATTCCTTATCTCTGTGCCACAGTTAACCCATCTGTAAAATGGGAATAATAACCATGCTGCCCATTCCTACCTCAAAAGGCCATTATGAGGTTACCAAGATCATTGAGGGAGGTGTGCTTTAAGCTCCTTAGAATAAAGGTGGTTTCAAATGATGTGGCTTTTATTAACGGGTCTCTTGTTAACTGACTATTATGCTGGCTAACCTCATGACTGGGGAACCCATGACATTTTTCCAGAAGATGTTCGCTGAGCCTCCTTTGAAGAAAAAAAGCAATATATTAATGCCATAGAACAATAAAGCAGACAGAATTTTATTTAAATGGTGGCCATTAAAAGACTCCAGTAAAAATCAAGGCTGTCTTCATTTATTCATGTCTCTCTCTCTGTGTTTTAATTCATTTGGCTAATTGCAAATTAATTTTTTCATAGGAAGAAAGATCACTTCTAAACTTCATTAAGTGTGTGAAGAAGTTATAAACTAAGTTTCTAGAGAGGTTCCTATTTAGGACCCATTAGCCATTGAAAGTCTCCTCTTCATAGCAGGGGATAGAAATTTGCTTTTCATGAAATATGGACAACCTAGAGGAGGAGTGGAATACTGTCCTGAGGACAAGATTGGGAGCAGAAGGAACTCAGTTTCACTTAAGGTGGATGTCTTGGGCATGTACCCTTCTCACCAGTAGAGACCTTTCCCTTCTTTGCCCCCCCAAAAAAGAATTTTAGAGAATGACAGGAGATCCATTATACTCTGAGAGAACAAAACTTCACTCTAGCAGATCCAGTGGAAGAAAGTTGGATTGAAGATTTAGGGTTCAAAGTTGTTTCAGAGAGGTGTCCTGGGCTTGCTTTTTAGACTTTAGCCTTTCCGAAAGACTGTCAAGTCTCCCATGTTCCCTTATAGGACCAGGTGGTTCCTAGGCAAAAGTGGGTATTGTCTAAAGTTTTTTAAAACTGCTTCTTGAATGTAGACAGTTATTATGTGTATGGAGATGTGCTAGAAACTGTTTACCTAATATGATGTGAAGGATACTATGAAGGCTCCCAAATCTATCTCCATACCATCTCCCTTCTCTATATACCTGTCCTGGTGTCTGGAGTTCCTCTGTTAGTGACGTGTGATGGTTGTGTGGGACCAAAATGAGAAAGAGATGACCATCAATGTTATGGGACCTGAGGAATAATGATAGCTGATGTTTATATAAAGCACTTCACATAAATTCTCATTTAATCTTCAAGGCAGCTCTGTAAAGTAGGTACTATGGTTATTATCATCTCCATTTTACAGATGAGAGAACTGATGTGTAGAGTTGTTAATTTGCTCATGGTTGCATAGCTAGTAAATGTTAGATGCAGGGTTTGAACTCTGGTCATTTCATTTCTGATTGAAGTCCAGTATTCTTTTTTTTCTTTTTTTTTTTTTTAGGCAGTTGGAGTTCAGTGACTTGCTCAGAGTCACACAGATAGTGAGTGTCAAGTGTTTGGTCTGAGGCTGGATTTGAACTCAGGTCCTCCTGACTTCAGGTTCGGTGCTCTATCCACTGTGCCGCCTAGATGCCCCCAGTGTTCTTTCCACTATACCGTAAGGATTCCTAATTTCTTTGATTGGTCCACGGGCATGAAGTTCTACCATTAGAGTGTTATTTCTTGAGGGTAAACGTTACCTTCTCTAGAGTCCTCTCTCACATTAAAAAAGTAAAGTCCCCGGTAGGCAGTGGTATATTAGTAAATATTTAACAACTAGCTTTGGCGGGGAGGGGAGGGGGGAAGAATGCATGACAGACTTTAAAATTTAATCCACATTATTAACATTTTCTCCATCACTTTCTTACATCTAGACAAAAAACCCCTACACAAATCAAGCCCTGGTTTGTAAGATTTGCTGATTTCTGAGGTGTAAAGCTGGAAGTTTAAGGGTTGGCTCTAATGAGCTGGTTTGAGCTGCCTCCAGCATATCCCTGATGTTAGGGAACGCTTCATTGCCAGTGAGTTTGTTAGAGACTCCACTTTGATGAAAGGTGGAGGTGAAGAAAGGATCTGTGAAATAGCCAAAGACAAATTTTGTCACTTTTTAAATTATAAAGAAATCCAGTTATGCACATGTGCTTTGGGAAGATGACCAGGTTTTACATATTATATCAGAAAGAGCACAGAACAAAGTTAAAGCCCCAGCTCTGCCATTTACTTTATACAGGATTTGGGTAAATGCCCTCCTTCTGGGCATCAGTTTTCTTACCTAAAACGGTGTTGGAAGCAATAATTTCTCAGATTGCTTCTAGCTGTGATGTACCATTGATTTATAAGTTGGTAGCTTGTAATTGCACTGACTTGTGGAATGCTTCCGTTTGTAATGGTTGTAACGATTCTAACTAAATCTAACCTACCAGTGCACCCAGGCATGAGAAAGGGGGCTGCACCCTAAATTTTTAGTCCAAATTTCTCCCTCTGGATCCACTAGAGTGAAGCTTTGTTTTCTCAAAGTACTGTCATTTTCTAGAGCTTTTTTTTTGGGCGGGGGGAGGTGGGGAGAAAAGGGTGCAATGAATGAGGCTTGCTGGTGAGAAGAACCTTGACATTAAATGAAGTTGACTCCATCCCTCCTCTCAGTTATCTACATTTCACGAAAAACAAAATTCCACCCCCTCTTATGAAGAGATTTTCAATAGCTAATGGGTGTCAGGAACTTCCCTAGAAACTTAGTTTGTAACTTCCACACACTTATCTGCCAGGAGGGTAGCAGGGGACTGGGTCTTTGGAGCTAGCTGCTCTGCTCTGAGATGGGGACTTAAATCTACCTTACTAATTATTTCTAGTCTAAGGGGAATAATTTTTAGGTTTAAGCTGTGATCCTGGTCAGTATCTCTAGTGAAGAAGTGGTGCCCTAAGCTACACAGTCAAAGGTTTGACTCCCTACCAAAGGCCAGCTCCACAAATACCGTCACACATAGTAACTAGCAAATACACCTCTTTATCCGAGCTGATAGTAAACAGAAGTCAACAGAAGTTATGTGGATTAGAATACATCAGAGGATACTCAGGGTAAGTGAGTTCTCCCTCTGGGAGTGAGTTAGCTCAAGGTGGGGTGAGGAGAGGGGGAGGGAGGGAGGAAGGGGGAGAGAGAGAGAGAGAGAGAGAGAGAGAGAGAGAGAGAGAGAGAGAGAGAGAGAGAGAGAGAGAGAGAGAGAGAGAGAGAGAGAGAGAGTCTTCAATTTCTTTTGAGGGGAAATTCCCCCAAATCTCTAATATGGATAATCTGTGAATAGGGACACGATTGAGCCACTGCTCCTCTGCCATGTTGTCTTCTCCCTAGAGTATTTTTCTTACTTCTGGAATCGTACCCTGAAGAGTACCTGTAAACATATGTACACACACTCTCTGTCTCTGTTTCTCCCCCTCCCTCTTCCCCAGCTTTTTCTGTTTCTTTCTCTTGGTCTCAGCCAGAAGTAGGATCTCACCTCTTCCAAGTCCTTTCAATTCCACTCCTCATGCATACAACTAGTATTTATTCTCCATCAGTGATGAAAGTTTTATAGAAATGGATTTGAGCTGCTGGATACAGAAGGAAAAGAGCACTGACCTGAGATCCAGGAGACCTTTGTTCCTATCTAGGCTATGTGATCTGAGAAAAGTCCCCTCCCTTTCCTGGGGTTCAATTCTTCATCTGTAAAATAATTGGACTAATAATAATGATGATAGCATTTATATAGCACTTAAATTTAAAAAGCACCTTACATATATTTTTCTTATTTGATTTTCGAAACTTCCCCTTATGGTAGGCAGTATTATCCCCATTTTACAGTTCAGAAAACAGAGGTTTAATGACTTGCTCAAGATCACACTGCTGAGACAGAGCCTGAATATAAACCCAATTTCCCTGGCTCCAAATTCAGTGCTCTTTCAATTATATTTGATGTTGTGAAAAGGTTATTTCATATTCTCATAGAATAAGAGCTAGATGAGGGCAGGCATCATCTAGTCCAATACATTCACTTTACAGATGAGGAAATTGGGGTCAGAGAGGCTAAGTGACATGCTTATGGCAACAGGTAGTAAATATCAGGGTTAAGACTTGAGCCCACGTCCTCTACTTCCAAGCTCAGAGCTCACCTCACCTCCCTCATAATCAATGCCAAAACTTGTCAATTCTACTTTTCATAACATGTCTCTTGTACCCACCTCCTTGCCCCCACCTTTTCTCCTCTGACACTACTACCACCTTGATACCGGCCTCCATTACTTGATGCCCGAACTATTTATTTCAACTATTTATTGCTAGTTGGTCTCCCTGCCTCAAGTGTTTTTCCACTCCCGTTCATCCCCCACTAAGCTCTCAGAGTGATCTCAAAGTTCAAGTCTCACTATATCATTTCTCCCCTTCAATAAACCCCAGTGGTTCCCTCATTCCTAAGGCCTTTCATAACCTGCCCTTTTCTTATATTTCATATACTTTACTCCCTCGCACATATGCTAAGTCCTGTGATGCTGGCCTCCTGGCAATTCCTCACACAAGGCACTTTACCTCCTGACCAGGCATTTTTACTAGCTATCCCCCATTCCTGTAATCTTATCCCTCCTCATCTCCACCTACTTGCTTCCTCCTTCCTTCAAGTTTCAGCTAAAATCCCACCTTCTGGGAGAAGCCTTTCCTGGTCCCATTAAATGCTAGTGCCTTTCTTCTGAGATTAACTCCAATTTGCCTTTTATTTATCTTGTTTGTATACGGTTATTTACATGTTGTCTCCTCCATTAGAATATAGATCCTTCAGGGAAATAACTGTTTTTGATTTTCTTAGCACAGTGCCTGCCATATGGTAAGTCCCTAGTAAAGGCTTGTTGACTGATAGACTCTTTATCACTGTTACCACCCTGTCTATCATCTCTTAGGGTTCTTACATGTCCTCTAGGTATCTCTATTTGGATGGGCCAAATCTAAAAACTATCGACAAATAATTTTTGCTCTATTTGTGTGGTTTTCTCAGTCTTGTTTCATTATATTTTGGACTTCTTTTTTTAGAATGTTGACCTCACAGAGTCAATTCTATGTTAATCAGGGCAGCCCTAATAAAAAGAAGTAGAGGATATGTCAGTTTCCTCATTTCCCACCCACCTGCTCTCCTTTGTATTTCTCCATCTTGCTACCAATAACCTCACTGTCAAGCAAGATCACATCAGCCTTAGTACTCATACCTAATCAATCCCTTCTGCCACTGGGATCTATCTGATTGGAAGGCAGGAGTGGAGAGCTACTCCCCAAACCTCCATTTAAGGATGGCACCTACCCCACAAACCTAAGCAATTTTCAAATCTTTGTGTTTCTACCTTTGCATCTCTCGAAACTGATTCCTCT